AGGAAGATACAAGTGTTACACCAGCACTGACAGAGGAAATAAAGAGTCATTTGTTAACCTGAAAACAGAAGGTAGGACTTCCTCACTGGAAACCTTTAACACAGATTTTCAGCTGCTGTGCTGTGGTGCTACACATTTTCCTAAAATCTATTTTGTTTGTTTGAAGCTCCTGTCTCTAAAGTTATCATCTATGAGGAAACAAACCAGATCATCTGCAGTTCAGAGGGAATCTACCCTCAACCTGAACTCTCCTGGTCCACCATCCCTCCGTCCAACACACCTCTACGTGTTACAACCACAGTCCATCAGACTGAGGATCAGCTTTACAGCATCCGCAGCTCTCTGGTTTTAGAGGATGATCCTAATGTGACCTACAGCTGCACCGTCAGAACTCAGAGGAACAACATGACAGCCACTTATAGGAAACCAGGTGACCCTGGAGTGAAGTTGATTAACTTTATTTTTGTAAAAAGATTTTATGAAAACAAATTTTAAATATTTAAAGCTAATCCTCGCTAATTTAAACAGGTTAGAATCACAAATGTAACAAATTGCTCAACATTTTACCCATGCTATTTATAAGTGAAGAGAGTTATAAATTATGCAGGGAAGCAAAACTTTGTGCCTCTTCCTTTTTCCAGAAACTTCACGTCATGAGAGGATGTCGATCGGTGGTCCGATTGCAGGAGCTGTAGTGGCAGTGATAATTATAATAGTGACAGTCTTTGTTTGTAGTAAGAAAAACAAGTTAAAATCATTCTTTGTTCTATTTTAAATTTACTGCACACATTTTCCTTTGGTTGATGTTTGTTCTTGATTTTTTTCTCTGTAATGTAGAAAACCGCTCCGGCCAAGCACCAAGGGTTAATGCAGAGCAACCGTAAGTACATCCTTAAAGGTCTCATGGTACTCTGGATAATAGTATTTTTTTTTTTTTTATCATGTTTAAAGTAAACATATAAATGGCTTTATTAACAAAGGAGAAATATTAGTTTTAATGTATTTACATTTTACTATGAGGTTAATACAAGAATTAAATCAGACCTAATTGATTTTCTCCCAAACATCTTTTTAAAACCACAGAGGAAAAGAACAGCCCAGTATTTTTTATGGGGGACTAAGTCTGTTACAAAAAAAGAAATAGAAACATAATCAACCCTCATATAAATTAAAAGGCACATTAAAAAAAACAACAAAAAAACTTGTAACTTACTTGAATTGGAATAGGAAGAGAAATAAATGGACTCCCAAAATATACATCATTGTTCATTTTAAACTAAACTGTCCTTGATGGTGGATTTTGTTGCAGGGCAGCAGAGGAGGTGCCTTTTGCGCCAGTAGGAGGAGGAACATCATGAAGAACATGACAATGATGAAAGCAATGGTTCATTGCATTGAACTGAAATATGAGACCAAACCTAATTGACAAAAATACGGTGGAGGCAGAAAAATAACAAACATAAAAACACAGACTTTAAGAGATTAAACATCAAAACATAAGATACCAACAATAAATGAAGAAAAGTGTAAAATTAAACCCAAGTTCTTCATGTCAGGACAAATCAATAGTCCAGTTTAAGACAGTCGGAGTGCTGGAAATGATTAAGACTGTCATA